TAAGAGGGGTAAATTATTATTAATATAGTTTTCGGAAATACATTTCCCATTTTTAGCATGTGCTAGTTCTTTGGCTACTGCAATACTAAGTTTTTTATTTACGCAATGAGGACACCATGAATGACGGTTTTTGATACTACGAAATTGTGCAGTCCATCGATGATTTTTATTACATTCCCAAAGCATTGGAGTTTCACAATTGATATACTCTTTAGAGAGACATTTCCCTTCACGGGATTCAGCTATTTTTATTGCATCGTTCAAAGATAATTTATTAGTCATTGTTGGTTAGTATTAAGATATTTTTAATAATCATCTTTTCAGATTCTGTTTTATATCAAATCGAACACTAATGGAGTATTACGGTCTTTGCAAACCAGATAATTCTACATCTTTTAAGGGCAATATCTATGCTCCAAAGCATCCATTTAGATTGTTAGTCGCAGGCACCTCAGAGTCTGGAAAGACGAGCATGGTAGTACATCTGCTCCTAGGAAGCAAATATCCAAAAATCTATCCATGGATGTCTGGTGAAAAACGTGGTCATAAAATACCAAAAGGCGGAAGCAAAAATTTTGGTGAAAGGTATATTCCGTGTGATGATCTAATTGTTATTGCGCAACACCAAGATGAAGAGCTATGGGAAACAGTACAATGTTTTTATGAATTTATAGCCATGGATAAGCAAGCTCCATGGTATGAAAATGTGAGATTCAAGCTGATCGCGCCTGAAGAACTACCTGATATTGCATCTTTTAAAAGAACTGGCCGATTTACTGTTATTGTCTTTGATGATCTTGCTGGAGAACCTTTGGCAACTCAGCTAAAAATCGTTCCTTTCTTTAGGTCAGGCAGACATGATGGAATTAGCTCAATTTATATCGCCCAGCGTTTCTATGAAATCCATCAAAATATACGCGGAAATCTTAAATACATTTCATTGCATCGTGGATGTGGAACATTAGATAGTATAAAACGAATTCTTAAAGATATGTATGATGATTATGAGCCTCTAGCAAAAAAAATTTATGAAGTAATAAAAAAACACTTTGTGGTTATTGATATCCAAAGACCATCTAATGATTCCTTATCAATTAGATTTAGATGGGATAAACCTTTGAAGAATTGGCAAAAATAGTTGAATTTTTGGGATGATTTGTGTTTTGTGGTCTTATCCATATCCATAAGGTAAAGTTTCATAGAGTGTAGTCCTGTCTTTTGGTTCTTTCGCATGATGGATTGGGAATCCATAACTCTGATTTCTATAGACTGGATAAAAAATTTTTTCCTTTTTGATTGGATGAAAAATTCGTTTGTATATATACCATATAATTAATATTATTACGAAGGTAAAAATAACAAACTTGAATATAGGCAAGATTATATACTGATCATTAACTAAAGTATTGCTACTTCCTAACGCAATAACAGGTACAGCTAGAATACTATCATAATCTCCTTTTTCATCAGGTTCGCGCTCTGAGTAATGTGAAGAAAAATGAGGTATCTCTTCTACTACTTCATTATGCTTATAATCGTTGGATGATGAGGCTGAGTTCACTTCTGCACTACCTATTTTTGAATCATGAATTGTCTGATGCAGTTGCGAAACAATTTGATCTAATTCATCTTCCAGATTACTTACCCTGGATCTAAGATAGAAAATTAACCCATCCTTAAATGATGAATTTTGCGTAACTTTCTCCAGTTCATTTTCCAATTCTTTTGCTTTAATC